TTCTCTTTTTTCATTAAACTTCCACTCGTGTCACAAAACATTTGAGTGATTTCTAATAACGAAGTGACACTCTCTATCAACAGCAAAAAAGGCAATATCTTCGGCGTATGCCAAACACGCACTTCGCATGACTTCAACCTGAAAGCATTAATCCCTGTGTGGTGAATCACTTTCCGACACAGTGGCTCCAAAAATAGAGCGAAAAGAAAAGGACTTAAAGGACCCCCCTGGCGCACGGAGGAAAGTACTTGTATGCGCTGTGAGAGTTCTCCATTTACAATTAAATTTGTGGTTGAACTTTTGTATGCCAATCTAATACCTTTTCATATGATCGCACCAAGACCAACGTACACAGCTAGCGTGAAGAGTATATTGTGTGGAACCATGTCGAAGGCCTTGGCTACATCAATTTGCAACATAGCTACATTTAGAAGCGCAGCGTCACAATACTCCAAAATGCTCCTGGCAACATGAACATTCGTGAATATGCTCCTACGCTTGATGCCGCAAGTCTGATGTGACCCGACCAACTTGTATATAACTCCTTGCAACCTCCAAGCCAGAACTTTCATAAACACCTTATAATCTACGTTTGTTAGCGTTATTGGCCTGTATCCTGTCACTTTGCGTAAAATATGTTGCTCTTTCCCTTTAGGAATCAGCACAGTGTGCGCCCGATTAAACGATGGAGGCAGAGTTCTGCGATCTAAAGACTCTGAAAAAACCTCATGCAATGTGGTGGCCATATCCTCCTTGAACGCCTTGTAAAAGGCATCATTAATGCCATCTGGACCAGGTTATTTGCCCATGCCAAGATCATCGATAGCCTTCTCAATTTCCCTTATACTAATAGACATTTCCAATAAATTTGTGTCCTCGGCATTAAGTGTCGGCATTTCTATCAAGAACTCATCTACAAAACCCGGCTCCTTTGGTTCGCGATAAGCAAACAAGTCCTGATAATAGTTTTCAAAAGCTTTCATAATATCTTTATGTTCTCTCAATATTTTACCATTCCATTCTATCTCTAGTCTGTCCTGAGCTCGCGCATATGCCTTTTCATCTGACAAGGCTCGCTTTGTCGGGGCTTCACCCACGAGGTATCTCTCAGCTCTTGCTCGTATAATTGCGCCTTTATCTTTATCTTCTTGAAGACATTCAATTTTGTTTTTGACAACCTGCAGTTGATGTGTGAATAAGCCCAGGTTTTCTGCTTCAATTTTCACCAAATCATTTAGCTCTGCCCGTAGCTCACGTTCCTGTTTTCGAGCTTGATACTGCATGTAGCAACCACACTCTATTGCCTTCATTTTTATCTTTTGCTTAAATAATTCCCATCTTTCCGTGGCACTCCTTTCTGCGTTTTTGAAAAAATTCTCGATTTCCTTCTTTGTCTTATCTACAAACCCTTGGGGCGTAATTATCTTAGTATTCAGTTTCCATGTTTCCCATACAACCTTTTTTTGCACTTTCTACCTATATCAAACGAGACTAAGCAATAATCACTGAAGGAAACAGCATAAACGTCATAGTTCTGACATAAAAGTACTATCTCAGAACAAACATATGCTCGATCTAGTCGTGCGTGACTCGAACCTTGAAAATGAAAGGTACCTTTCTCAACGTTCAAGCAGCAAGCTATCCATATTTACGACTGACCCGTATTGGCGGGCATCTCGGGGGGGGGGGGGGACTATTGTGTTTTCAGCATTATCAGCAAGATGGCGCAGTGATCTCTCACGCGTACTTTGGCTTTCGTAGAGAATAATGGGGGTGTACGCTAGATCACTCGCCGTTATTTTGCAGTAGAAAAAATTGTACTTCGTGACTAGCCTTTGGGTTTCGTCGGAACGATTATGTTGTAGGTACCGGATGTACAAAGGTCACTGCAATCGTTGCACAGCCTCCCTTTGCGGAAAGGGCGCGCTTTTCAGACATAGCGAAGTAACAATTGAGACGCTTAATCGCGTTCATCTGTACCTGTGAGTACGTTTAGTACGTCATTTGCGCGTGAGAAACACCGGGCATGTTTCGACCTACTTGCCATTCTGCGCGTGACCTTCCAATTTGTTGCTATCGCGTTCATCGCTTCGCCTTTGCGGCAAAGCTGTGACTTTTTTTCGGTGATTTACGGCGTCTTAAAAGCAGCGGCTCACTATAACTGGCTCCTTCTAAAACACTTCGCAGAGACGGATCAATTGCATGCGTGTACAGGTACCATTAGTGCGAGAAAAGATAAATTACCCAGTCATGTCCATTAGTTTTCTCCCAATGTCGCAGCAACATATACAGGGGCCAACTCACATAGGTGTCATTTGTCATCTCGGCTGAAAAAAAATTAAAACAATACAAAAAGAATTAGTCGAGCCAGAGCCACTTTAGGTACTACCGGAAATTTTTACACAGCGTATTGACGGGTTCCAAGAGTGGTGTTGGTGACGCAAACTAACTTTTAATTTCGTTCATAGGCGAGCCTCTCCCGAGAGAAGGGAAATAAGCAAAAAAAAAAGATGAGTGCAGGAGTTTTGGTGGAATCAGTAAACCTGGCCTCTCAATTAAATGTCACCAAAGGGGGGAGGATGGTGGTGTGAAGTACATAACGACTTCCAATTTTTTGTTTTGTGTTCTGTGAGCAAACAACAAGACGTCCGCATTAAACGTCAACAGTAAAGACAAGGACGCCAATATTACTCGTACGTCACCTGCCCGATGGGCTATATGTGGCCGTGGCGGTTCACACAACCATGAAAATCAATACGCCTACATTGAGAACAATGGAAATAGAAGCTGCACAGTGATTCTAGCCTAGAGGGCATTGTTTCTTTATGATGCCGAGTTCAACGCACCATAACACATCAAATCATTTATGAATGTGGTATATTGTTTGGTGGAGCTAAAACATTATTCGCTCAATTCGCTCTAACCAATAATGTTGGTAACTACGCACCACAAACAGAGCTGTGCCCGAGAGCTCGAGCTATCTGTGATGTGAGACGTGAAGGCAGAGGCTGAATACAGTGGGATGTGCTCGCGAATTAAGATTACGTTAAAATTATTGTCATCGACGCCACAATACCACTCCTGCCGTACGCTTGAGCGATTACAAATTGCTGCGTTTGATATCGCTGATGTTGTATTGCATTTTATTTTCGTTATATTCGGCAAGGACCTGTCATTTCTTGAGTTTTCTTATTCTACTGATATCGCTATAGTTTCATAGCTATGCTACGTTTCTTTTTTCCGGTGCCGACCTAAAAAAAACATAATTGATAATAACATCCGCTATAATTTTCCTGGCAATATTGTCTGTTACTTCACATTAGTATTGTGTCTAACAAACAAAAACGAACTCTTAAATTTACACTTTTTCCCCGAAACTCACTGCAATACTGAATACTGAAACAGAAAAAAAAGTGTGCAATTTACGATTCAAAATCGTTAGTTTTTTTTTGTCAGGTATATTATCGCAAGGAAACATCAATGTGGAATTTCGGTTTCTCTCATGCAGTATAACTTATTCCTTTGTTGTGGCCCTGGAAGTAATATTGATGCTTGAACGTGTCTTCCTTGTGTGCAAATGTGAAGCACTAAGAATGCTTAATACATTGATCTTTTCAAGCGATCTGCAAGTTCGGGATAGCTTGGAGCCAGTCTTTGGAAGCCTGCCCCGCCGCAGTGGTCTAGTGGCTAGGGCACTCGGCTGCTGACCGGCAGGTCGCGGGATCGAATTCCGGCTTCGGCGGCTGCATTTTCGATGGAGGCGGAAATGTTGTAGGCCCGTGTGCTCAGATTTGGGTGCACGTTAAAGAACCTCAGGTGGTTGAAATTTCCGGAGCCCTCCACTACGGCGTCTCTTATATTCATATGGTGGTATTGGAACGTTAAACTCCACAAATCAATCAATCAATCAAGTCTTTGGGAGCCATCTTTAACAACATGTGTTGCAGCTGTACTTAATCCAAGACAGCCCAAGTGGCGGTGTACTCAGTGAAAGTTCACAATTTTATGACTTTATAGACATGCGCGGTTCGGGCTGCTATCTATGCGTGCTAGTGTATTACTTCACCTCTTTTTCCTTCTCCACTCATTTTTTTCCTTTTCCCTTTAACCATAGAGTTTCCCACAATACTTACTAGAGGGAACTCTGGCACTAGTGTCTATGGGAGCTGCAACACACGGCGCTTCAGCGAGCATGGGAATGATGGGTAGTACACATTTGTCTAAACTTCGTACTTTTGGCCTGCTTTTGGCTCCGTGTTCGTTCGTGTGGCTTGAAGCTGTTTTCTCGTGAAACAAAACTCAGCAAATGTTCAGCAACTGCGCTTCACCACCCTATTTTTTAAAATTACCTTTCCGAATCGGGTCACGAAGTTTAAAAGTTAAATCTTTCTTTCAAAACAAAACCGAAGCACAGCAATAAATGAAGCCGCAAGTACGATTCGCCGCCCGCAAATACGAAGACTAGGCAAATGTGTGTACTACCCATCATTCCCATGGTCGCTGAACGATCGCAGCGCCAGAGTGCCCTCTAGTTAATTTTGAGAAACTCTATGCCTTTAACCGATGTAGGGTAGCCAACCGGACTCAACCTGGCTAACATCTTTGCCTTTCCTTTGCTTTTTCTCTCTCCCTCAAGCGTAAACGTTGTATTGTGTGCATTGTCAAACAGAACAATAATATATAAGGTTTCACGTCCCGAACCACAATATGAATATGAAAAACGCCGTAGGGGTGGGCTTCGGAAATTGCGACCATTTGCTGTCTTTTAACGCGCGTTGACACCACACTGCACGCGAGTCTGAATCGTTTTGCCTCCTCTGAAATGTGACCACCGTGGCCTTCGGGTCAGCGGCCGAGAACTGTGTACGCTCTGGTCTACCATGGCGAACTGTGAAACAGAATAATACGTTCTCATTACGCTGCTTAGTTCACATTTCGTTCCCGGAAATTTCTCATCATAAGGTGTTGAGAAGCACTTTGTATTTTCTCTCTTTCTGCAGCTGAGGCACAGACGGTGACGGCGCTGGAGGGCGGCCAGGTGCAACTGAGCTGTGACATAAGTGCTCCAGCAGCGGGCGACTTTGCGGTGCGCATCCGCTGGTTCAAGGACTCGGGGCCCAACCCCGTGTACAGCATAGACGTCAATCCCAGAACGGGCAGCTTGTCGCAGATTCGCCAGAGTGCGCTGCGCAGCAGCCTTCAGGGTCGCGCATACTTTTCGGTCATCCAGACTCCTGCCGTGCTGAGCGTTGACCGCCTACGGCACGCCGACAACGGCTCCTACGTGTGCGCCGTGGACTTCAAGAAAGACTGGACCCGGAAACTCATGACTCACCTCATCGTTATCGGTAAGTGCATACGGTCTTTCTATGACCGGAAGGGCCACAGCGAGTTGTCGATATTGCACATATACCACGCTCCAGAGCGAAAGCTTTTTACGATCTTCTGCATCGTTGTACTCTTACTGAGTGGGAATAGAAAATAGCAGATCGTGTTACGAATACGACTGGGTTGCGCAGCCCGGCTCACAAGCCAATAAAATAATTTATTGGCTGGTAGGCTTACCAGCCTACCCTACCAATCAAATAAACGGGTATCTTGTAGTAAAGGCAGTCTAATATTACAGTGTTTGTGCATGAAACAGACAAAATAAAGATGTGACTAGAATCACTTCCGTAAAACATTAATTAGCATATGGTCAAGAATGCTTCAGGCAATGAACATATTTGACGAAGCCGTCGGCTGAAACCTCTCCAAAAAATGAACACTTCGAATATTCATAGGCACGCTTCACCATCGTCTTACTTCCAGGCATTAAAGTATTGATCATCGAAAATGAGTTGCGGACTCAGTGCCAAAAAAAGAAAAAAAAAGCAAGTACAAGACGCCTACGTGCGAAAAAAAAACTAAGTAACGTACTTACATCTTCGACCGGCTAGCTGTGGAAACGGGAAGAATGAAATTAAGACTGCAAGTTTCAGCGAGAGGTTTTCCATGCCTATGCAGCGATAAATTAACAATTCTCCGTTTTCAGGATGGCCTCCCAGATTTAATCAAGTGCGCCTCGTCCCACATCGTTTTGATTCTGCAGGTTTCTCGAGTTATGTTTCGATTCGTTTGAAATACCTTTCTTTTTTATGTTTCAATCCCAGGAGACCGGTAAGATGACGGTCAACACGAATGAAACAAGATACGTTGTTTTCCTTCAACGCTCTATAGTGACCTGTACCGCTTCCGTTAATATTTATGACCGCTTACTTAATAAGCCTAACGTCTCCTAAAAGTTGTACGAGAATGAAGGCGTGTCCCGAATAACGTCGCCTATAGAGTGCAACTGCCATTTGCTATTCCAGGTCTTCTCTAGTAATTAAGTCGCTATATTCCTCCCCACTTCATCTTTCCTCCTTGTGAATAAGTAACCACGCGCAGCACGCGATGTTTTCTCAAGCTAAGGAAGTAAATATGTTATTACATGACCTTCAATGCCGCTTGCATTTAGAGATTTTGGGAATGCCCTTTGTTAACGGTACTAGCTGTGGTCTTTATTTTTTGCAATAATTTTTTCTTCATGATCCGTTGCGAAAATTCCCGGTCCCTTATGATTTAACGTGGCATTGACGATCGACTATTTGATTGTCATTGAAATGCGCAAGTGTTCTGGTTAAAAGTGATTATAAAAAAGTAGGAGCGAGGTAAGCAGTGTAACTTTGCATATAGCTTTAGTTTCAATATTGCGTGTGAAATAACTGAGTTTTTTGTCTCAGAAATAAAGGTAATGCTCTTGAGCATACTACTTGGAAATCAAGGGTCATATCGACGCAGTACAAGAAATAAAACGTCAACACTAAGTGTCCTCGTACGCTAATTAAAGCGGTTGATTACATTCTTATACGTCCACTATTGAACGAAGTGAAGTTCCTAACACTGTATAACATTCAAACATTTAATTTTCAGTCATGTTATTCGCACTGTCAATTATTAATGTACTTTGAAATAAGTTAGGATGGCAGCACAACTCTTACATTTCCACCGCACATAATTTTCGACCCTGGCACGTTGCCGAAACAAATGAGTATTTCAAGGCCCAAGCAATACTAGATACCAGTCACTATATTCAAGGTGAAGGCCGCCCGCTTGAAAAACCATTCTTCTTTGTCGTCTACGTTTTATGGTGCGGTATCGTTTCGGTACGGATGTCAAACTTCACTGTGTAAGTTGACATCAATTGTGCGCAAGAATTCATATCTTCTAGAGCTAGATCTTGCTCCTGAACTCCCTTTAGTTCAACCGTTGCTCAAACTCCTTTAACCATTGCTCAAATTCCCTACATAACCTCATGAAGAGTGCTATCAATTTAACAATAACTTCCAAGAAGGGGTGATGATTTATACGGAAATGATTTATGACTAGAACGTTTGTTTGATGAGTTAGCACAAACAATTCTTCGAGGTAGTATTGTATAAATGAGCAAACAAACCAATAAAAAAACTGAATTCTCCTAATGATGTCGTTCATAAATGGCCATGGAAGGATTTTCTGAAATAAGGCATGATTGATGATCTAGTCTCATTAGGACAGATTCTTGTATTTATCCACCATGAATCAGTTGGCTGAATAGTACCGCACTCCGCTCCCATTGAAAAAAAAAAAGCCAGCAATGGTTTTCATGGTGCAGACGTTCAATAACTGTATACTGTTCATTTCATTTCGCAAAATCAATGACTCGACCTCATAGACAACACAGGTCATGCACAGAGAAGGCTTAAAGGCGGCACTGAGGTCATTTTTCTTCACTGGGACAAAACACGCCAGGCCGGCACGAAACACGAGGCACATTCAGAGAAAAAAGGAAGAACTGCCTTTCTCAAAACATCTGTGAACTCCTTCGTGACAACTGCAGGTACAATTTCCTGGTCCCTGCTACACGTCATTATAGTTTTTGAAACTCAGGGAAGCACCCGTGGCGTCATTATTTGATTTTTGTGCGTGAGGCGAGATAGCCGCTTCACACTGTTGAAGCATTATTTACAATTTGTTGATTCGGTGGCTGATGACGATGAATAGTCATAACTAAGCCTTTTGTAGTCGATTGGGGAGCAATGAAAGACCCACTTTCTGCCAAATTTATATTATGCGATGCTTGGTTCTTATGTTACTCCTCTGCCACAACATATTACACATGTCGACGTAATTGTGCCTCCTACATGAGGCCTTTATATGCCCTTTTGCGATGTATTTTCAGGAACCCACTTGTCTTTACGGTAGAATACTTGGCTGTCACGCAGTGCATTTGGGTTAACATCTTACTCTATCCTTGATATTTTTTTTCTATTTAGCGTCATAGTGGTTACAATAATACAGCACGAAAAACAACCGTGCTTGGGATCTGACAACAGCTTTTATTGTAAAACAAAAAGGCAAGAGATGCAGCGTGTTAGCTCGACGCAGTGGTACTTTTTTTCAGAGAGTGAACTGTCATTATTAAAGGTTAAAGAAGTCCTGACTACAGAACGCGAGGGAAGTGACAGATCACGCATTGTCTTTTTTGTCTTCATTATTTTCACCTAAGTGCAGATTGATGATAGAAAGTGTTGAGAACTCGGCTTACCCCAGCAGGAAGAGGCATGTACGAATGCGCGTAGGTATGTGACTGCGCTGCACCGATCCCGCATCATTTATTCAAGGAAACAGTGTCAGCAACAATTACAACGTGAGTCGAGTGCGCTGAGGGGAGAATAAGTTAGAGAATTCGAATGGGTTCGGGGATGAAATAAGGACAGCGCTGGTCTTTTTCTTTCGCCCCTCTTTTCGCAGTCTCCTATTCACCACGCAAAGCTCCCAGTCAGCACGAAGATACACAGTAAGGGGCGTCGGCGCTCTTTTGTTTCGATCCACGATGCCGCCACGACACGTACAGCCGGAGAGAATTCCCGCGGCACCCGCTTGGAGCACTCAAAAGGAGGGAGACTTGCAAGAGGTGCTGCAAGGAGAGAGACGTTGTTGAAAGAGCACTTGATGCGAGCGAGCAGCAAGGGAAAAAAATTAGAAGCAAATGAACTGGGAGGAGCTTGTAGCTGTGCTCAACAGAAGGGCTCCGGCGACGAATTGCTAATTGCTGCGGAAGGAAAGTCGAGCTTGATGGAGAGTGTGCTGCCACCGGGCGTAAAGAGCTGGAAATTCCTAGCACCAGTACAGATAAAAAAGTATAGGACGGCGCAAAGAGTAAGCAAAGTTCTGACACTTGCCGCTGTGCGTCGCCTCGCCACTACGTGTTCGCGCGCACGCTCTAACGGGCTTTTAGAAAGGACTTGCCAGCTTGTAGGCGTAGTCAGCGCGCCTTAGTGAGTGCGTGCGCCTCGCGAGGGGCTGCTGAAGCTCTGGGTTGTGAACGGCGTGCGAGGCCAGTTGCGAGCTGGGGTAAACACGTACGCTCGAACGAAGGAACAACAAACGTTTAATTACTCAATTACTACACGGGCGTTGACTTTGCGGAACGCTGAGTTGCGTGGACGAAAAATCATCCCCGCCTGGACGGGCCACGTTTCGAAGTTTTCTTCGCGAGAATAAATAAATGAATAAACACACAAACAAACGAACAAATAAATAAATATTACCTTTGTGTTTAGGAACAGAATTATTTTGTCACAATTGATCCGCTAGGCTGCGCATCAGAAGAAACACTATAGACTGGCGAGCAAGCCGAGGAATCCCACCGGGAGGGCTCGAGGCATATGTCTATAGGCCGGGGCTGAGGCCTGTCCCGAATATACTCGCTGGATATCAAACGCTTCTTTCATCGTCATCATTGATAAAGGTTCACACCCGGCAAAAGCTTTAACACTATATACGTATAAACAGAAATAAATACCGTCTGCAGTCAAATTTTTTAAAATTACTTTCCCGTTGCAGTCATCGCGTGGGCATCAGTGAATGGTAACAGAGCAATATAAAACTGAGTGATGAAATTTGCTCTTTTTGTGTGCGTGTGTGTGTTGCCAGATAAATTTGTGATGAAGGTCTAGACATAGAGTGCGTTATCGAAGTCAGTTGTGGTAGAATCTGTATTGCTTGATTTTACTTGCACAAAATTACAAGCGAAATTTCAGTAGCCCAGACTAGCTTCTCATTAATTCTTTTATTGTCTTACTCATCACCGAAACCTATTATATTTCTTTGAAAGAAAGAAAATAAATAAATAACAAATACGACTAAAATGAATATGACATGCGCGTCCTATATAACGATAAAACAAATAGTTGCTGCAGGAAACGGCAACTGGTGCGCCAGTTAGGGTGAATACAAAACTTTTTTGAACAATTTACTTATAAAGCTTTCTCGGTAGAGACAA